ACTTTCATCTCTGTTGTAAACCTTGTTGGATATTCTCGATAGTAAATAGTATCTTCTGTGGTGTTCTGGAATCTGAGATTGGAAAGACCTTTAAAAAATATACAGTTGCAGTACTACACATACTAAAGCATGTTTTGTCTATGATCACTGAAAAAAAAAAACAATTCATAAAGAGACAGAGGGTAAAATTCAGCTTTTTGGAGAATGGTTCTAGAATGATTGTTTAACACTTATGTTTTCAAACAATTTTTTAGTGTTTCATGGTCTTTGAGAACAGTTAGGAGAAGAGTATGTATATATACACACACACACATACATAATGGGAATTGTTTGTCACGAGTAGAACTGCTGGAAAAATATGATGATATTATGAAGCAAGTTCTTAGTATGACAAAAGGTTTTGTAAAATACTTGAGTCTTAAAATTCAGAATGAAATAATTTATTTTCTCGGAGAGTATTTGGATAAAACATTAATGTCTGAAATTAATACGTCTCCCTTTTATTCCTGTATTTTTGATACAACTCAAGATATTTTTAAAATAGATAAGTGTAGTATTCAGATATGTACATGTTTAAAGGAATTAAAACTTGAACCAGTTAAACTCCATATTAAAGAATCATTTTTAGGATTTCATGAAGTTTCAGATCATACTGCAAAAGGTATGGCAGATCAGGTATTGGATATATTAAAAAAAAAGTCAATTGTTAAAAAAAAAATTATGGGCAAGGTTATGATGAGGCAAATGTAATGAGTGGTATTTATAATGGAGGCAAAACTAAAATTAAACACATTGAACCAATTGCATCATACATTCATTGCATTAGCCATAACTTGAATCTAGTTGTTAATGATATTGTTTCTGGTTGTAAAGAAATAGAAGCATTTTTTATAGTTTTACAAGGTATTTACTATCTTTTTGTATGTAGCATCAAGAGATGGGATTTGTTATCACAGTTTACTGGGGAATCAGAAATTATAATAAAACGACTGAACCCTAATAGGTGGTCTACTATAATAAATGCATTAAAGGCTATAAAATTATGCTATTTAGACATACTCAAAGCTTTGTCAGAGTTAGCATGAAAAAGTACAATATGAGATGAAAGAGAAGAAGCTATACGAATAAAAGACAAAATGTCAAATGTTGAGTTTGTGTTTATATGCATATTAATTTGAAATATATTTTCAGAAATTAATTATGCATCAAAGATATTCCAAGAAAAGGATTCAGACTTTTGTGAAGCAACTGTGTTAAGATTTATTATATCAAATTTGAATGATCACAGATTAATGTATCAATCGTTAAAAGCAGAAGCTGTTGAAGTTGCTAGCAAATGGGGAATAGTTTCTAGATTTTTGGAAAAGTGACAACCAAAAATTAAACAGCATTTCAACAAACTCACTGAGGATTACTGTTCCACCAACAAAGAAGAGATATTCAAAGCTACAGCTTTTAATTGCAGTGTAGATGTTGTCAGTATGCAGATACAGACATGTTTTATTGGAATGAACAAAATACCAAAGTTGTTTAGTTTTCTATAACCTTCTGAATAATATTGAAGTTGACATAATGAGATTGGCAAAAAATTTACAACTCATCTATAGTGAGGCTTTGTCTAGCCAAATTCCATTGCAGATAATAAATGCAATTTCCTTCATTAAAAATGATATTAATGAAACAACAAGCTTGAAGAAATTAGCTGATCTACTGTTAATTAAATATATAGCTTCATGGAAAGTGATTTTTTTCAAAAGTAAATACAGCGATTTTACTTTTTTTTTACCAGTGATTGTAGTGATGGGGTAAAGATCATTCAGTAAACTCAAACTTATAAAAACTTATTTAAGAAATAACATGAACCAAGAGTATTTAAATTATCTTTCCCTTCTAGTTATAGAAAGCAAACTAGCTAAAGAATTAGATCTAAAACATCTCGATGTTTTTACCAATAAGAAGGCCAGAAAAATTTTTTTGTGCTTGTGCTTTTTGTTCTTTTATTTTTTTATTCTACATTCCTTTAAAAACATTTTTATTTAACAATGTTAGATTATGTGTTTGTTACAAAAATAAATAAATGAATTTAATTTATTTTGTGCTTATATTTTTGGGGGCCTTTATATAAATTGATGGGAGGGGGAGCCCAAAAATTTTAGTTATTCCATTGCATGGAGTAATAATCTTTATAGAATTTGGATGCATAGGGGAGGATTCCCCAAGCTAGCTGAGTATGCAGATGAATTTGAAAAGATTTATGGAATGTTGTATTGTTACAAGCTTATTTGAGGTTGATCTTAAGATAATATTCTGATAATCTGTTTTTAGTTCTACATTTTTTGAACTACGTTTGAATAATATTCTTAAGTTCCAGTTTTTGAGTTATACTGTAGATTGCCAAGTGACTGTGTTTTAAGGATTCTTAAATCTACCAACAACAAAAGTTTTACCAAATTCAGAGGTTTTGCTTTGAATAAGAATTTAGAGATGCATTCATACTATTTGTTTAAATGGTAGCTCTGTTATTCTTATTTATAAATAAGATACATTAGTTTAGTAACATTTATTTAAACATAGACACTTTTTTCAGATTATTTTCTTATTTCTGTTAGTATTCTGTTAATCCAATGATCTTAAAATTCTCAATAATCCAGAGTGTCAAAACTGTAAAAAAGAAGAAGAGAAACATTGAAGAGCTAATGATAATTTTTTTCAGAAAGATTAAGCCTATAGAAGTCATATATTAGTTTATGTTTAGTAAACATGTAAATAAAACTAAAAGAGTCAAAATGTATAATTGTTCAATAAGTGTTTCTAAGTATAACTTCAATACATTGAGTAAAATTTGATTTATATACATATGTGTACTTAATTTGATATTGGTGTGCAGTGATTTAACAATGAACATATCTAAGGAGGTCTTTGTTTCATCAGTTATACATACAGATAGTTGTTTCATATTTGACTGAGACACGTGCCCAAAAAAATACCCCAAAACAAACCAATAAATAGTCTTTAGATTTAAGTTAAATCTCTGAAAGTTCTAAATATAGAATGAACATTCTATAATAAGATGAAATAAATATTTTTAGGGATACACCACTAAGCCAACAAGAGTTAAAGCTGGTCTTGGACAAATTATTGAGATTTTTACCAGATCTTGATCTACAGGAAACACCTTCTTTGATCTATCAACTTTTATTACTGGCTGCTAAGGTAATACTTTTTTAATATTTGAGTTTTATTTCTAATTTCTTAAAAAAAAATATATGTACTGTAGTTTCTAAATATGTGTCATATATATTCATTTGTTAAGTTATTTGTGAACAGTGCAGTAAAAAGATGTTTTGTTTGAATAGTAAGATCCCTCAGATAGCATTATGTTATGGTATTTGGAGATATTCCATTCAAGATAAATAATTAAACAGCATTTTTTATCATACTGAACCTGATTGATATAGATTAAGAAACTAACGTTTAAACTCTGTAAGTATGAGAATTAATTCATATTTTGTTATATGCTTATGAAATAAATGTAGAATAATTTTTGATATAGGGTCCACGAAAAATGATTTTAAATGAACTGGTCAGATTTTTCAATCAACTAGATGAGAAATTTTCCATGCAACAGAATCAAGATACTGAAACGTGAGTGTTATCTAATTCTTTACATGACCATAATTTTTATTGTACACTTATTTGAGCTTATTATGATTATTCATAATATTTTTTATCTTTCACTGGAAATGTACCAAGTTCAGGTGATGCTTTTTATGCAGAAAAAACTAGTTTGAAAAAATGACTAAATCTAAGCAAATAACTATAAGATATGAAGTTAGTCTAGTTTGTTTTAAACAGTTAGACATTTAGAAAATAAACTAAATATTTGCATTTTTTTATTCAGTTAATAATTTTTATTTGAGTAGGCCTATTGCACTAATCCTGGTACTTCTAAACTTTATAAACATTTTATACTGATATTTTATGTAAGAAATTTTTATCTCTAATGTATGTTGAATATCTTTAAAGAAACAGAAAAAATAGTAAAGTGAAAAAAAATATAATTGCAACAAGCGAGGTCATACAAGGGAAAATATTTTAAATAGAAAGGACCAAATAGTTAAGAACTTCCCTTTTCTTTTGTAAATTTTCTGTTGATTTTCAAGTTGTCTTTTATGCTTTTGAATACCATTTGATCTTAACCATTTAGAAATGAATGATGAGAGCACATTTACTGTTCATCAATATTTTCACTAACGGAAGATTTCAAAGAACTTGTGTAAAAATAGAGAAATGTGATATAATCTGGTGCACTGATTTCCCTCAGAGCTGTCAGCTAGGACCTGCTAACTGGATGTTAGAAGAATATCATTTAAGAGAGTGTTTCTGTGTGTGTCTCTCTGGACTCAGAGTTAGGCAACAAAGAAAGAAGCAATATACAGAACAAAAGTCTTTATTTAACAAAAACACAATTAAAGATAAATACAATACACAGTTTCAGTATATTGAACTAGTGAGAAAAGTGTGGAAAAGCCTTTAATACATCTCTTACCAGTCTAGTATGAGTCCCCCCCCCCCCAACCATGTAGACTAAACTAAAATTAAACTAAAGGAGGAATAATCCCTGAAAGATAAAGTAAAATGGCAGTTACTGATTCCTTGACATTGTTTGAAGAGGTTACTACTTATGTAGATGAGAATAAGGTTGTAGATTTAGTGTATCTGGATTTTCAGAAAGCATATGATAAAGTGCTGCTTAAAAGGTTTATTAAAGAAATGATCTCTATAGGTGTTGGGGATCAGTTTGCTTATTGCACAGAAAAGTGGCTGGATATAAGAAAGCAGAGAGTTGTTAAAAATGGAGTTAAGTTAAAGTGGATTAATTTCACAAGTGGAGTTCAGGGTTAGATGCTTTTAACTTTTTGATTTAATTCAATTACCACGTATGAAGGAATGGTTAATATATTGTTACGTCTCCGTTTGTTAATTGATTTTTTCCGTAACTTTGTTCCGACGAAACTTTAACGACACAAGTCTTTACTTAATAAAACTGGTTTATTCTTTCCGAATATAACTCTGCGATACACTTAATCTCAATATTCGCGCTAAAACAAACAGTTTCACGAACGAACGTTAACTTCAACAATACCCTGTGACTGCAGTTCAATTACTCACTGTCTACACACACATTACCTTCCCGTGTCACGTTGTCCCCCTCTTATATATACCAGACTACCCTATCTAGTAAATCCTAGAGCATTCAT